GTGAGCTGTAATGCCACGGCACTCTACCCAGGGGGACAGCTTGAGGCTCTGTCTCAAAAAAAAAAACAATAGAGGCTACCATGGAGGGGGGAAGGGGCGAGAGAAGGCTTTTTTAAATGGGTACAGAGTTTTTGTTGGGGATCATGAGAAAGTTTTGGTTATACATAGTGGTGATGGTTACACAACCTGGTGAATGTATTTAAAGGCACTGAATTATACACTTACCAATGGTTACAATATGTTACATCTATTTTTCTATAACTTAAAAAAACACAAATGGGTAAGCCCTAAGTGAGAGAGAGAGATCTTTTCAGCAGTCCAGGTGAAAATTGTTGCAATAGGAATCAGCCTAAGACAGTTTCTAGTTTCTACCCTTGTGTAGGCAGATGTCTGTGATGAGAAAAACCACAGTCTTGCTGCATTGCCAGCAGCCAGCTCACACCCGCCTGGTCATAGCGCCACACTGCAAAAGGAGCTAGACTGGCCAGAGTGCCTTAGAGAGAGAGGACCCTGAGAGGAGAGGGGGTCCAAACCATAGCACAGGGACCAGAGGGCAAGGGGTTTAGTTTGTTGAAGACAACACTCAGACTGTACAAAACAAAACTCAGAAAATTCCGCGGACCTGTTCTTTGACCTAGCATAAAGAACAACTCAGTCAGAAACATCCAAGCAAGAAAGATCTGCCTAGGAGGTGGTGAGTCCTCCATCACAGGAGCCACTTGAGCATTGTGTGGCTCAATACACAGAATGGGAAATCCATCTGGGCATGGTTGGGACACCTCAGACTTTCCTGGCAGTTATGGGGGCTTCTCCCGTAGTAGGGTTGGTGAGGGGAGACCAACCTGCCTGTTGGTGATGAAAGCCTGCGAGGTAGTTTGCCTTCCCTTCTCAAGGGACTCTTCCGAATTTAATGGTATACATCCTTCAGAGAACATTTGAGTAAAATCAATCAGCAAGTCACAGAGTAAAGCAGATTTGAAGTGTAAATGGGTGAGCAGATGGAGGCATGTTTTGTTCCTCTCATGGTAGTTGATGAATTTGGTCTTTACAAATTGAGACACTAGTAACTGCCTTGGCGCCCATAGCACAGTGGTTACGGCGCCAGGCACATACACCGAGGGAGGCAGGTTTGAACCCAGCTCAGGCCAGCTAAACAACTGCAACAACAACAAAAAAATAGCCAGGCATCGTGGTGGGTACATGTAGGCCCAGCTGCTTGGGAGGCTGAAAGTCAAGAGAATCACTTAAGCCCAAGAGTTGAAGGTTGCTGTGAGCTGTGATGCCATGGCACTCTACCAAGGGTGACATAGTGAAACTATCTCCAAAAATAAAATAAATAAATAAAAGAAATACTAGTAACTGTCTCTTTGTTGGTGGTCAGATTTCAAATGAAAATTTCTGGTCTTGGCCGGGCGCAGTGGCTCATACCTGTAATCCTGGCATTCCTGGGAGGCCAAGGCAGGTGGATTGATTGAGCTCACAGGTTCGAGACCGGCCTGAACAAAAAACGAGATCCCTTCTCTACTAAAAGTAGAGAAATTGAAACAAGAGGATCAGTTGAGCTGAGTTTGAGGTTGCTGTGAGCTATAACTCCATGGCACTCTACCCAGGGCAGTAGCTTGAGATTATCTCAAGAAAAAAAAGAGGCTCGGCGCCTATA